ACTATACTTCTATTGATGTAGCCTAAAATTGCATTGGCCTTTTTAGCTCCTGCACCACACTGTTGACTCATGTTCAACTTGTGTTCCACCTGGACTCCTAGATCCCTTTCACACGTAGTCTCATTCAGCCAGGTGTCCCCCATCGTATATCTGTGCTTTTTCTCTGAAACCCATGTTTACTTTTTGTGATTATGGAATTACCTTCCAGGTGTTCACAGACTCTCTGTTTAATTATCTGCTCCAGAATCTTTCTCGGTATTGATGTCAGACTAACTGGACGATAATTGTTGGGATCCCCTTTTTTTCTATTTTTGAAGATGGGGACAACGTTTGCCCTCCTCCAGTCTGTTGGGACTTCTCCTGTTCTCCAGGAGTTCTCAAAGATTATTGCCAATGGTTCCGATATTACATTTGCCAGTTCTTTACCCTTGGATGTAATTCGTTTGGTCCTGGAGACTTATATCCATTTTTCTTCCTCATTGGAACTGTTTGAAATTGTGCCTTCAGTATCTCCCTTTTGAGAAACTCCCATCCATCTTGAACTCCCTTCTCTTTTAGTATTCCTGACTACAGGATCACCCCCAGTATTTCTCTAAATTTACTAAAATCAGCTTTCCTAAAGTCTAGAATGCGTGGATGACTATGCCTGGTTTCTCCTTTCCACTGTATAATAAATTTGAGGAGAACATGATCACTCCCACCTAAGGATCCAATCACTTGCACTTCATTAACTAAGAGGGTGCAAATTGATTGCACTTTTAGGGTTAGGTTTAGGGTTAGGAAATCATGGGAACTGTATTTTATTGTGGCACCAGAGCTCTCTGACAGAGAAGGCTCAATGTCTCAGAAAAAACAACAACAATTCCCATGATTCGATAGCACTAACCCTAACCCTAAAAGTGGACTCAATTTGCACTATTTCTGGCAGTCTGCAACCCCCCTTAGTCTTCCCTGTTAGTTAGGATCAGATCCAAAATAGCTGACTCCCTTGTTGCCTCTTCCACCTTTTGGACAATGAAATTGTCTTTGAGGCAAGTGAGGAATTTGCTAGACTTTGAGGATTTTGCTGAGTTTAAATTCCAGCAAACATCAGGATAATTGAAGTCACCCATCACTACTATATTTCTCCTTTCTGAGTGTGTGGTCATCTGTTCTAGAAAGGCATCATCCAGTTCCTCTGCCTGAGTCGGGGGTCTGTAGTAGACTCCCATGATAACAACCCTGTTCTTTCCGTCCCCTTTTTTTATCCAGATGCTCTCCACCTGGCTTCCAGGATTGATGTCCTGGATTTCTTCACTGGTGTAAATATCCCTGACATATAATGCTATTCCTTCTCCTTTCCTGTTTGGCCTGTTTCTTTTGAAAAGGTTATACCCCTGTATTTCTACATTTCAATAATGAGACTCATCCCACCAGGTTTCAGTGATGCTTATTATATCATATTTGTTTTGCTGTGCTAGGAGTTCAAGTTCATCTTGCTTGTTTCCCATGCTCTGTACATTAATGTAGAGACATCTAAGACCATATGTCCCCTTTACTTCTGCCTGTGCACATTTTTTTTGCCTCCCACTGTTGGGTCCTTGCACTGTTTCCCTTGTTCCCTTTATGACAGTTTAACTGTTTTTTCCAGTCCTTTTGTCTTCCAGAACACTGTCTCCTTTCCCCAAATAACTCAGTTTAAAGCCCTCCTGATCAAATTCTTGAGACTGTTGGCAAAATTCTTGAGACTGTTGGCAGTTCTTCCAACTGGTGTGAGATGCAGCCCATCCCTTGCCAGATGCCTGCCCTCATGGAACTGCAGCCCATGATCTAAGAATCCAAATCGTTCTCGGTGATACCATCTGTGGAGCCAGTTGTTGACATAAGCTCTACCGTATACCAAGGCAAGATTGCACTGATATTTCTAGAGAGAACACTTCTTTAGGCATTTGTAAGTTGTCCAACACAATTCTGTGGTGAACCTCTGGTGTATATTGACCATACATGTGTGCTAGAGGATTAGAGATTCCTGTAGAAGTGTTCTCTCAAGTAAAAAAAATAGCCCATCCCTTGCCAGAAGTCCACCCTCATGGAACTGCAGCCCATGA